GCCGCCGCTGCCCACGCCGGCCAGCGCCCCCGCCCGGCCCAGCTTGCGCAGGAGCGTGGTGAAGCGCGAGCGCTCCTTGGTGGTCTTGGCGCACAGAATCTCCGCCTGGCCCATGAGCGTGAGCTCGTCGCCCGCGTGCAGCGTGAAGTTGTACACCTCGCTATCCTCGCTGAACTCGCCCGACACCACCTGGGGACACCCGAGACAGGGCAAGGTCTTAAACACAGGGCACCGGCCAGGACAGGAGAGCAGCCATAGTCTTCCGCCCTCCAGAGGAGAGGCTGACCAGATCAAGAGCACTGGCCTGTGGGCCAGGAGACCTGCGTTACATCCTGGAGAGGCCACATGGGAGCTGTGCGACCTTAAATGAGTTGCCTCGGGGGCCCTAGTTACCTCGTGCGAGATTCTTACTTCCAAGAGTTGCTGTGGGATTAAATGGGCTATAAGTATGGTGAGGTATTTTGAAGGTATTCAGCGAGTGGCCAATTTTAATACATTATCTTTACCATTTGGGCGACGATGCCCCACCCGTCCAGGCAGGTACTGTGAGGAGAAATGAATTGATGGATAAGAAAAGGGTTTGTAAACAGTAAAGAGCTGTCTGTCACCAGCAGGGGCTGTTTGCACCGTGCGTTCACCACAACTACCACCTCTACCAGTGGACATGGGAAGCTGGGGCAGCTAGGGTGCTGGGACAGATCTCCAAGTCAGGGCATGACCCCTTCACATACCCCCACCTGCTTCACCACGGTTCACAGGAAGTCCTTAAGCCCAGTGGGACCTACACCCTGCTCTCCTGACACAGCGTGACTTGCCAAAGGCCCTTGAAGAGTCACCAGAAATCACATTTGTGACCCCCCTCTCCCTCCTGGTCCCTAAGGTTGCCCCTGAGGGAAGGGGGTGTGTGTGGGGTCACCATGCCTGGTGCAGGATGGACTGACCTTGACACTGAAGGTAATGGCTTCCATCACAAAGATGCGGTCAGGGAAGACACTGGCCACCTCCTCCACGCTGCTGAAGTATCTCACTGGCTCCCGCACATCCCGGGCCTGCTCCAGGAGCTTAAACTTCCCTGCACAGGGCGAACGAAGGCTGCTGGGGTGGGCCCACCTGCTGGGAGTCTGGCCTGCATCCCCAGGCCCTCATGGTCCCTGCTTTCTGCCATCCTCATCTCTGCCAGCCCCTCTGGAACTCAGTGGGCAGAAGGGCAGGTTTGCACTGGCATGGGGTGTAGGGGGTTCTGGTCACCTGGCTCAAGCCTTGGTGAGGAGGTGAGCACAGATCCCTAGCAACCGGAATCCAGCCCTGCCCCATGGAGAGCTTGTGGGTGTGTGATGAGGTGAGCGGCTGCCTGCCCAGCCAAACCCAGCTGCAAACTGGACACAGAGCTGGCTGCCTATCAGGCATCAGTATGGCATTGGGGATGCTGGCTCCTAGCTTGGTCCCAGTCCCACCCCGGACTTGCTGTGGCCGTAGACAAGTTCCTTCCCCTGTCTGGGCCTCTGTGTCCTCATCTGAGTGTTGGGGCAGATGATCTTGGGCTCTGCGTGGATGTGGCATACTGTTACCTTGGGTTGCTGATGCAGACCAAGGGCCCAACCCCAGGCCTTGGAGGCCCCGAGAGAACTGCTGTGACCCCAGCTGTGTTCCTAGATCCTTTCCTGGTCCAACATGCACTCCCACTGTCCCACAGGCTCTGACCTGAGCCCAGCAAAGCCACCTCCCTCAGAGGAGTCCTTCCCAACCTGCAGTCCGGGGCTGTGTGTTTTGGCCGGCTCAGCAAATGCCCCCAGCAGGCTTAGACTGTAGAGAGTGATGCTCATCCATGAAGCTGACAGCGCTGTGTAAACTCTCTCACCTCACTGGCTGCACCCCCTTTATGTACCCACCTACATGAGCACAAACAGCCTATGAAGGAAGCGCCTGGCATCGGACAGATGAGCCTCTTCCCAGGCTTCATACAGAAGGAAGAGAGCCTTGTACAGGTGAGGGAACAACAGGTCAAGATGAGGTGACTCTAGCTTCTGTGGGCCTCCTGGTGCTTGCTTCAGTCATAGTTCATTCATTTATTTATCCCACAAATTTATGGAACACCCACTATGAGGGGGTCTTCAAAAAGTTCATGGAACAACTCGTATTCTCTTATTTCTATTTTTCCATGAACTTTTTGAAGTACCCTCGCATGTGTCAGCCACCATGCTAGGCCCTACTGAGGGTACAAATCTGTGCAAAACAGTCTGCCCTCTAAGAAGTCCAGATATAGTGGGTGAGACTGTGAGTCCCCAATGATGGCAAGATGTGACAGGTGCCACAAGAGACTCGTGACGAAAGAGCTGGTGGACCACTGGCTTCAGAGAATCCTGACTGGCAGAGTCTAAGGGGATCATTGAGGCTGCACCTTAAGAATGAAAGGGATTTTATAGAATAGGCTTTGCACGTGGAGAAAGAGCTGGTGGACCACTGGCTTCAGAGAATCCTGACTGGCAGAGTCTAAGAGGATCATTGAGGCTGCACCTTAAGAATGAAAGGGATTTTATAGAATAGGCTTTGCACGTGGAAGTAATAGCTTCAGCAAAGACAGAGACACAGAAGTAGACTGCCTGCCCAAAATGGTGCATGCCAGGAGGGAGAAGGGAGGTAAAGCAGACAGCGAGTGGGTTTTGAAAGGCTTTGAATGCCATGCTAAGGCAGCAGGACTTTATTCTGTAAGAAATGAGACCCACTGGAGTGTCTTGAGCAAGGAAATATCATGATCCATGGTTGAACCCTGTTGAGATAACTGGGAAGCCAGTCAGGTCAAGAACCCAGTCATGAGTTTTGGAGCAGAGCTCAGGAATAGCAAGAAAGGAGCAGATCAAGAGATACTTAGAAGGGAGACTCCTCCAACTTGGGAGGACTCGAAAGAGGTGGAGGTAGGGAAGGAAGGGACCTGGTCAGAAATGGAGATGGCAGAGCTGTTGACCAAAACTGGGAACTGGAACATACTGAGGGGCAGGGGCAGATCCTGGGGTGGGGGGC